CCCTCCACCCCGCGCCGCGCGGGAAAGTTCTGGAGGCGCCGCCCCACTGTGCGCCCTGTCGGCGCTGGGAAGAGGCTGGGGACACGGCGATGCCCCGGCCTCTCCGCAAGGAGCGCGGAGCCAGGGCCCTGAGGCGGTACGCGCACGTGACAGCGCGGGCGGGGAGGGGTTTCCCCGGGGACACGCACCCCCGCGAGGCGCGAGGCAGCGCGCGCCGGGGTCAGAGGGCGCAAGCCCCTGGCGCGCATTCCCTGCCGCGCGCTGCCCCCTCGTGGCCGCCTCGAGGTCGCGACGCCCGCCCTCGCGACTGGGTGTTCACAGGCTAAGAGAAAAAGTAGTACAGTTTAAAAAAAAAAAAGTAGTACAGTATTTGCTGAAGTGCAGAAGCCAAGAGCATGCCTTTGTGGCCTTCTGTTTAGTCCTCTACACACCCCTGTGAGAGAGTGATTTTAGCTTCATGTTTAGCAGGAGAAGGTGCAGTTCACCTGTAGGACCGGACTTACATTTTCCCAACCCAAAAACCAGACGCACGCAGATGCGTACCAGAGAGCAGAAGCCGTCTATGAGTTGGGCAGAATCTTCTGTGCTGGGCAATGCCCAGCTCCCAAAAGCGCACGGAGAGATGAATGTTGCTGAATGACTGAAACACATTTCCACCTCCCGCCCACTGGGGAACTGGGTGCAGATCCCCCCAGCTCCTCCCTTCTCTCTGCTTCCTGACGTCCATGTCCAGCTCTCCTGTCATGTCCTCTGCCATGCTGTCCTGCTTTGGAGCCAGTGGACCATGGAATAAAACATAAGTCGAACAAACCTCTCCCTTGAGTGTAGGGTGTCGGGTGTTGTGTCCCAGCAAGAAGAGCGGTAACTAAGGCACTGCCTTCCTGGAAAGTTGGGGGCCCTGCTTTTCACATGAGCTCTGTGAGTCTCCATAGCCAGCAACCAGTTCAGTTCTCCACAAAACACCATATTAGCTAAACAAAGTAGATGTGTGGCTAGATCGGCCAAAAGTCCACCAGTTTGCGATTTCTGGCAAAAAAGCCAAGTGTCAGGGGATGTAGAGTGAGAACTCCATCCCAAAGGTGCTGGCAGGTGCGGTGCCGTGTCACTGTGCTAACCTGCACACGCTTTCAGTAAGCCAAGGACATGGACCACCCAGCAGCCAAGGATGGGAAGAACTGAGGAGTCAGTCAGCCACAAGTGTAACTGAGCCAGCGAGTTCCTCATGTGTGGGGCTGCGTGAACTGCAGTGTACCTCAGATGCCTTCCTAGAAGCTTGGGACTGGGATATAGAAGACACGATCCCACTGTACCCTGGGCTCAGAAGACCTCATTTGCAAAGTTACTTCCAACTAAGCACCAAATTTGAGGACAGAGGAGTGAGGCATCTAGAGGCCTTGTCCATGAAATTAGAATGGAAGAGCAGAGAGTGTCCACTCAGAAAAGAGAAAGCTTGGAACAGCAAGTGGCAACCATGCGTCAGGGTTTTGGCTGCCCCAGTGTTTGAACTCCTTGGGGATGTGACATGGAGCTCAGCCCCACCGCAGGAGCAGCCCCACTAGACATGCTCTGAGGGAAGGGAGAGAAGGCAAATGACCCGTGGGAGTCCCAGCCACCATAGGCAGCATCAGTCCCCACTATTGAGGGCCTTGCGGGCAGAGCACGCTGGCATCTCAAGGTGGGCAGACCATTCTCACCAGGCAGCCCAGCATGGCCCAGTGGCTACCACCACATTGGCCAAGCCTTACTGAGCCTATGGTTGCCCCACTTTATTTAATTAGTACCTTTTTTGTTAAATCTGCTAGAATCAGCTTCTGTTACTTGAAACTGGGAGCTCTAGTTGATAAATTATTGATTACCAGTAAGAGATCCACAGAAGCCCTTGGGATAAGACAGCTGTCACCGAGCTGAGCAGCCTATGGGGGCTCATGGCTGGCTTGCTATTAGAACCCTGATAACACAGAAGGGAACCAAGATGAACTGGAATAACAGGGGACAGTCCTAAGCTAAACCCAGAGAAGGGCAGCAATGAGATGGGAGAGTCCCCCATCTGAGAAGGAAAGCAAGCACAGGTCACACTGAGGGAGGGTCTCTTCATCCTGCCTTTGTACTGGACAAGTGGCACCTTCTTCTGGGGACCTCTCTGTCCCTGGTCCTCACGCACTCACAGGCTGCCAGTCCCGCTCTGCACCTGTGTCCCCAGCAGACACCAGGGAGGTCCAGCAGGTCAACTGGAGTAGCTCACCCTGGAGGTGGCTGGGTCAGGAACGGGAGCATGGCTGAGCACCCATCAGAATCTGTCGTGAGGTGTGGGTCTAGATGCAGATACTGTATTCAGGGACTTCAGTGGGCACCTACCTGCATGTGAAGAAGGCTTGCTGGAGGGGTGAGGGGTGCCCACCCCTGTAGCAGGCACTGTCCTGGCCCAAGAATCAGCAGGGAGGGGCAAAACACCACCTCCAGGGTATTTGGGAAACTGCTCCCCTGAGGGGCAAAGGAGACTGTGGAGATCTCTCCAGAGAGGTCATGATGGAGTGTTGGTTAGGTAGAAGAAGGGCAAGTGCCAGGCTAAAAAACAGGCTGGCCAGGAACAGGCAGGAGCAGTAGGGAGAATGAGCCAGTGGTATATGGTAGCTGTGGGCACGAGGTCTCCTCCAGGCCCTGTGCCTGCCCTGTTTGAAGAAGACTTCCCTAGGTGCCCTGAACATAGTCACTGGGGTCCAGGACAGGTGACACGGGGCTCTGGAGCTGACAGGTTAAAAAACAGCATGGGACAACAGCAGTGCAGTGCAAATGTACCTAGTGTCTCCAGCCTGCACACTCAGGTGACTTTTATATCATGAGGTGTTTACTACAACTTTTTAAAAAACTATATAGGGGCTGGGGATTTAGCTCAGTGGCACAGCTCCTGCCTGGCAAGCACAAGGTCGTGAGTTCGATTCCTGGTACCAGGAAAAAACCAAAAAATTAAAAACAATTAAAAAAAAAACTATATAATAACAAGTAGGAAGTCAGCTGCTAAGGATTTGGTTTCAGCCACGTCCACAGGAATTCATTCAACAACCGTAGGTTGAGCACTGCTGTACACCAGCAAGGCTCTAGCTCTTCCCTGCAACACTGGCATTCCAAAGGCAGGCAGGAGCCAGTAGGCTGAGTGGCTGTGGAGGAGACCTGACTGCAAGGCAACAGTGGGTGGCTGATGGCCCTGGATTCAATGCCCAGTGCTGGAAGGAGGAGGAGGAAGAGGAGGAAGGGGAGGAGAAGGGGAGACTGTTCCTTTACAGCACCCCATCAGACATGTGGGAGGAGGGGGTGATCTGCCCCAGGTCACCCCCAAGTGGTGGCCAGCATTTGTTTCTGGAGCCTGTTGTATGTGCACCGGCCTGGAGCTCACGAGGGAGACCAGAGCCAAAACACAGCTACAGGGCAGGAGGAGGGTTAAAGGACAGGGAACTACCACCCTGGGGAAGAGGGACCATAGGGCAGAACCCTGGGAAGCACCACCCACCAGGAAGGGGGCGACTGCCAGTGATGGCCCAGGGTCATCAGGAGCTAAGGAGGAAGGTGAGAACTCAGCTCCCACCTGCTTAACACCCAAGGAAAGATGGGTTACAGGGTGCTGGCACCTTGGCCAGGCTGACACCTTGAGGATGGAACCCGGCTTGGGCACATGCTGGGGAGCGCTCATACTAAACCTCAGGACAGCCGCACTTATGCCCACTGCCCCAGGCCACCACCTCCACACAACCCTTTCAGCCACTCCACAGGTGTCCTTGCTGGGTGGCAGTGAGGCCACCCACAGGCTGAAGTGTCACTAGCACAGTCTATGCCTTACTTCTCATGGTGCCCATGACCAGGCTGCTGAGAGTTAGTAGAGCAGGCAGAACTAAGCCAGAGTGAGGCACAATGACCTACAGAGACGCCACCCCCAGCCCTGGCTGAAAGTACCCCCTGGGGGGTACTAGCCCTGGCAGAGTCCTCTGTCCACCCCGGCCCCGGTGTGTGAGGAGCCTGCCCTGGGTCCTCTTCCTTGACAGAGAAGCAGTGGGCACAGTGATTGCTACTGTGCCGGGACATACGAGGACCCCAGTGGGTGGCCACATTTCCACAGTCCTTCCACAGCTCAGCACAGTGCCACAGGCTCCCAGGCAGGTGTCTGAACCTCTTGGAATTTGGTCCGGAGCTGGAATGAATACTGGGGACATCAAAAGTGTTTTGGACACCAGCTTGATCAAATGGTGGAATGGGTTATTCAGTGATATTTCTTTCAGAACATGAAGATCTTAATAAACACTTAGAATTTATTCAGCTCCAAAGCAAT